TTTTCAATGGACTACAACTTTCATGTTTTGAGTTTTGTTTTAATCCAAATATATCTTGATGAAAAAATGGGACAAAGTTAGGAAAAAATTAGGAAATTTCATAACTTAGAAAATTTCTAAGTTATGAAATTTCTTCATTTCAAACCCTAATTTGTAATTTTTGATTTCTTGATGAACAAGTTTCATAATTTGACATGTTTTGATGAAAAATGAATCTTGGCACCTGATTTTGACCAAAAAGTCAGAGTTTGACTTTTCAGTATACAGTCAAATTTGGATCAGTTGACTGGAAAATTCATCTGTCAATCTTGTGCATTTGGGATCTTTTGAACTTGTTGAATGTGTCAAGACCATACCATTGAATCCTTGAGTCCATATGTGAGCTTGATTTGCCATTGGTTAGGTCAAACAGTCAAAAATTGCCTTTGTGCAATCAAAACCCTAAAAATGACCATTTTGCCCTTTTGGTGATCTGATCAAATTTCTTGTGGAATTGTGATCCAAACTTGATCAAATGGTCCATATGAGTTCATAATGTTGATGTGGGTCAAAAATCATGAGGTTTGACTGTCAATTGGCCACAGTTGACTTTTTCCCCAATACAGCTGATTTCTAGGTCAACTGTCCAATTGACTGGACAAAGATTGGAATCAAGGCTTGAAACTTGGTATGGATAAACTTGTGAGTCCAACATGAAGCATGAAAGTCATTTTGGGAATTTTAGGTCAAAACATCTTTGTGCAAACTCAAACCCTAATTTGGGTCAACAGTGTAAGGAGGAGTCTTGAGCAGAGCAAACCCTAACTTGATCTTGAGCTCCAAGGGTCTTGTGATGAGAAAATGTTGATGAAATGAGAGGGAAAATTTTGGGGTACAAAAAAAGGTCTATGTTCTTTTCCTCCTCCTTTAGATGTTGCTATCTTACCATTGATTTGGTAAGAAACCCCATCGTTGGATGTGAAGGGGCGGGTGTGGGTCGTTTGTATAGTCATAAAAGACAACCTATGAGTCGTTTTAGCAATTTTAGTTCAGGGACTAGATCGTTTACCGAAGGAAACATTGAGGGTCATCGAGGACTACGATCTTTTATCGAGGGTCTTTGCTAAAACGCCCATATTCGAGGGACGTGACTATTTTCCGAGGCAACAAGTGAGATTATCCTAGAGGTGCATGTGTGAATAATGTGTTTGATTTGCATGCATTTTGTCTTTGATTTTTTTGGGTTGTCTAATTGTTGGTTTTATCTTGCCATACATCCTAATTACTAACATTTGTACAAAAGAAATAAAAATTCAGAAAATAAATCCTACACTATTATAACCATATTAAATAGCAAGAAAATATAAAGAAAAAACAAAATAAAAGGAGGAAAAATGAGTGCTCCGATTTGGGCAACAGAACCATTTGATTATGCTTCTCTGGCTCCCTTCGATTTGGGCTTAACATAAAGCATGAAATGCAGCCTTTGATTCTGCCTTTCTGCTTCTTTTGATTGGGGTCTGGAGTCAGCATGAGGTGCACTCTTCACCCCCAAGCTCCTTACTTCCTTCCTCGATTGGGCCTGGAAGTCAGTATGGAAAACTTTTGTTTCTCCCTTTTTACTCCTTCGAATGGCCTGGAAGTTAGTGTGTGGCGAAGTCTAAGGCCACACTCTTTGTTCTGCTTTCAACTGTGAAGCAGCCAAGGGGAAGCCTAAAGCTTTGATTCATACTTCCTTCCTCCTGTTTTCTTTCGTTTGGGATTTAAATAGAAACATGGCCTGAAGTCATGCTAGTATTGTCTCATGGCCAGGTTAGTTCTTAAAAGCGTTTGATAAACCAAGAAACAAAAACAAAAGGGTTAGCAATGAAAACAAACTAAAAGGGTGGAAACGAAAAGAAAACAAATGTTATGTACATGTTTCAAACGAAGAGTTTAAGGTCAGAGTGACTTACCTTGCTTGAAACTGGAATGTGTGTTGGACCTTGAGTGTCTGCCTTGAGTACTCCTGGATTTGAAGGAAAGAAATAGGGGTTATGCTTCTAGTACTGGATTCGAAAGAAGGAAATCAAGCGCTGGATTGCTTCATATTCGAAAGAGAAAAAGAAACAAGTGTTATGTTTCTTTATATTCGAAGGGCCAAGGAAACCGGTGTTGTGTTTCTTCTGGATTCGAAGGGCCGAGGAAATATGTGTTGTGTTTCTTCTGGATTCGAAGGGCCAAGGAAACAGGTGTTACGTTTGTTCTGGATTCTGGGTTTGTGTTTAATGTTTGAGAATCTTAAGAGTTTAAGGGTTTTAAGAGTTTGATGATTTTTTTTGAAGATTCTTTTCACCACCCCAAAAGTCCTCTTCAGCTTGCAAATGTTTCTTTATTTATAGAGAAAGGGTTAGAGGTGCTGAAGTAACCAGGTTTATAGGATAACAAACCATGGTTTGGTTGAAACGAAAACAAACTTGATCCCTTTCGTTATTCCCAAGTTTCAATTATAAGTGGGGGTATGCTGTCTGTTGGGGACAGGAGATTGGACTTATGCTTATGTTCAGACATAAATCAAATTGGGAGCTGATTTTGTGATTAAAGTACTCTTTATGAAAAAAGGGTATGTAACTTTTTGCTATTTTATCCAAGAATAGTATTATCCAGTAGACAAAGCTTTGAACCTTTATGTAAGCCTCTGATTATGTAAAGATTTGGAAGCAACATAGCATGACAAGTGAGATTTGGAGGATAAGGCTATGAGATTTGCTCAAAGTTCTTCAAACAAGCTTGCTTCGAAGGGTTCAGATTGGATTCGACGTATGCTGATTCGAAGGTAACCAAAATTCCAATCGAAGCTTTGTGCGAAGGTGACTCTTGTCCAATCGAAGGCTTGCCTGCCAGAGGTCACATGGCCAAACGAAAGGGTGCATGCAGGAGGTCCCTTCTTTGGGGGCGCTAGCATAAAGGGGAAATCCTGCCTTGTGAGTTTGGAAAACATGCAAAACCAATGGCTTTTGAGTCGAAGGAGAGCTGCAGGAGGCCATTGCTTTGTGACTTCAAGCAAACATGCAAGAGGCCTTTGCTCAAACAAAAGATTGCATGAAGAGCCATTGTACAAACGAAACTTGCTTGCCAAAGGTCATATTGCCAAACGAATGATGTAACCCAAACTTGCATTCAAAAGAGGCCACAAGCCCAAACGAAAAATGTAACCAAAGCTTGTATTGAAGGAGGCCACACGCCCAAATGAAGAAAGCATGCAGGAGGTAAAGGGAACAATCAAAGGAAAACAGAAAAGAGGCATTTGCCTCCTGAATCGAAGGAAGTCAAACATGAGGCCTTTGCCTTCTGAATCGAAGGAAGCTAACATGAGGCTTTTTTCCTTGTGCCTACTGGCCTGGTGGGAGTCCCTTGCTTTGAAGCATGCAAGAAGGAAGCTATTGCTAAATCGAATGCTACATACAGCTAGCCATCACTTTGTGAATCAAATAAAGCATGGAGGGAATTATTTGTCCAATCAAAACAGGCATGCAGGCATCAAATGTTCAAACGAATGGCATGCAGGCAACCATTGCATTATGAACCATGTGAGGCCAATGGTGCAATAGAAGGTTGCATGCAGAAAGCTCCTGCTTTTTGAATCAAAGCCAGCGTGTCAGAGGTCAACGCTCAATCGAAGGATGCAAGCCAAGCTTACATCGAAAGAGACTAAAAGTTCAAGCGAAGGATGTGAATCGAAGAAAACTTGTTTTTTCTTCAATTTTGTCAAAAAGATTATTTTTATCTGCTTTGCCCCTTTTTAACAGTTTCTCTTTAACTTGATGCTGAAAAATCCAATTGTACTTGTATAAATTCAGACTCTAATTTTGAGTCATCAGTGTTAAGGAAATATCTTGAACTGATTCAACCTTGTGCAACCTTGACCCAACAGAAAGCTTGTGAGAAAATTCTTGAAGAATGAGAGGGCAAATTTTGGGGTACAACAATAGGCAAATCAAGAAATGTAATAAAAAGAACTAATATGAATAAGAAATAATAATTTTGTATGCCTGAAATAAACTCATATAACTAGCAAGTTGTCTCGTCTCTAAGACACCCACCTCTCCAAGTGCAACATATAGAAAAGTCGGTGCAACACACCCTCATGTCCAGTTGACATACTCAAGGCGAGTAAACATTGACATGTACTTAAAATCGATATATAGATGAGACTTATCCTCTAAGATAGTACATCCTACAAGATGTAACATGTATCCCCTAGTGGCTACCTCATACACACTCAGATGCACTAGATCTTTATAGATATCCCGCAACCAATATAGGAGAAAGTGAGTACTTTTGTTAAACCTAAACTCCTCTATCACTTACTCCTCAGTAACCCCCAACTTATGTACAACCTCAGTAACCCCCAACTTATGTACAAAAGTTATATGTGCAACCTCCTGGCTAATGAGAGGAGTGGTGAAGAAAGTACCTTCCATCCGAAGATGGAACTGAGACAATACATCATCCAGGATAATCGTCGTCTCATCAAATAGAAGATGGAAGAAAGATGTCTCCTTTTTCCATCGCTCAACAAAGGCCACTAATAATTGACTATTGATCATGGTCAGTAAATAATCCATTGGTGAAAGGAGACTGCAATCATCAACAATTGTCTGGACCTCCTATGGCATCTCAACATCCAAGAACTTATTCAGCTTCGCACCGTGGGTTGCAACTTCAGCGGAATTTGGTCCTGTAACAAATAAAATAAAAAAGCATCAATTAAGTTCAAAGTATCAATAATAAATAAAGTCATGTCTTTGGCATATCATATACATGCCACTCCCTGCCATAATCTGAATGTCACATGATCGACATATTCAGTGGATACAGAAAGTCGTATGCCCACCAGGAAACTCTTCATCTATGTGTACAGACGACTCTGTTGAAGCCGGGGCAGTGACCTTTGAATTAACTAGAGGAGTAACCTTCATATCATCAGTAGCAAGTGTCTTAGTAGCTGTCTGCCGAGTAACCTTTGTAGCTGTCGGAGCCTATGCCTTAAAAGGATGGGGCACCTCTGTCGTCTCAGAAGGATGTGACACCTCTGTCTCTGCCATCATCTGCGTGTCATCCTGAACTGTTGCCTGAACATCAACTGGCTCATCATCATCTCTCGTCCATTCAGAAGCAGGTTTAGATACTCTACGTTGGATAGTGCGGGGTGCATGAAACTGACCAACCAACCGCCTATTGTGAGAACCGGTTGAGGCTACTCTCCCCACTCGGAGATGCGATCCCTCTACATCACATCACCTCGCTCGAGCCCTTGCAAAAACAACTTCAGCTTTATCCTGCTCACGAAAAGCAATTGTATCATTTATTCTTCTGGTCTTCACTGAAAAATAAAACAAAACTACTTAACATACCAGATGTTTTAAAAAGCCAGATAAAAACCATACATTTTTCATATTTTTGAAAGAAAAAAACGTTAAAAATGCATGCATTTTTCGAATTTTTTGAAAAAATCAGTAAAAATGCATATATTTTTCGGATTTTTTTAAAACCGATGAAAATTGCATGCATTTTTACCGGTTATTTCAGAAAATCCATAAAATGCATGTATTTATACCGATTTTTTAAAAAATATCCTGAAAATGTATGTATTTTTACCGGATTTTTTGAAAAAACCGGTAAAAATGCATGAGAAACATGTGATTTTATCGGAGTTTTCCAAAAATGCGATAAAAATGATACTAACTTGTTACAAACTTCGATAAATGCGATAGTGTCTTCGAAAAATCCAAAAATCGCTAAAGGTTTTCAAAAACTCAAAATATTCCAATGTAATATGGTAAAAGTATAGGGTGTGTGGAGGTACTAGATATAAATGGGGTTGACATGAAAAATTCTCCTTTACCCACTCTCTAGGTTCTTAAGAAACTCTCCCTTTTTATTTTTGATAAATTTATCCCTCTCCAAAGTGTATTTTAAAATGGAATTTGTCTAGAAATATACTTTTGAACAGCTTGTTTAAAACACTTACTTATGTGTAACTTAGACTGAAATATGTGCATGAGAAATTAGACTTCCATTGAAGTATATTGGACTAAAAAACCTATAGATTACTTTAAGTAGAATGCTTAGATTACTTAGGGCGCAGGAAATGTCTGTTTGATTTTTATGCAGATATTTCAGATTAGCTTACACATAAATAAACAAGTTCTGTACACGATCTCACAGGCTAAAAGAAAGAGAAGTTTTTAACAGCATAGGGTGTGAGAAAAGAAGCTCCAAACTATAAACGAAAATCCATCACAAGATCAAACCGAAATTCAACCATGACGTGTCACTATAGTTTGGGTTGATTGGGTGTTTTGGACCCAAAACTGGGCATTTACAAGTATGTTTAAGGAGGTTGTCTTCAACCTCTAATCCTAATCTCGCCCGATTAGCCGGAGAATGAGTTTACACAACCTAGTTCACTTCTGTGTTTTTTTACAGTTTTAAATGCCGTTTCTTACTCTCGAATTCCGTGTGTTGTAGTGTACTGTCACAGACCGCAACTGCAGAAAGGAGGCAAATATTATTGGTCGTCTGTGTAAGCTTTTTCATTTATCTAAGCGTCCTCCCCTTTTTCGCACAACTAATCTAAGGCAAATTTGTAGCAACCTATAATCAGGCATTCCTATTTTCATCCAGTGTTATATAAATTTTCTTACTCAACCATTATTTTAGACTTTCATTGAGATGAGAATAACTTGGAATATGTACCCTGACTGATTTTGTGAATGAATTTTGTAGGCTCCATAGTATCTGGTAACAAAGTGGAGAAACGCTCAATGCTAAGAATTTTCTACTGTATTGAATTGAAAAAATTCTGATATCACTGTATTAACTAAAAGATTTTGTAAACAGAAACCATTTGATATATGTCATTATCAGCTAAACACAGATATACCATTTTCTCTTGCCATTGTAATGTGCTGAAACAATAAAAGAAGAAAAAATGAAGTTTCGCCGTGGATTGAACTGTGTTACTAAGAGAGAATGAAAGAATGAATATAAAGCCGCTCAAAATTTGGGCTGAATATGGTTTAAGGTCACCATGATTCAGTAAGCCCAAGAGATGCCTAGCTGATCGGTGTGTCATCTTCAATGCCCTGAACTCCTAGAGTGACATATCACCCCCAATTTCGCCGATAACTTTTTCCACCTTTATCAACATATCTAAGAACATGAAAATGGTACATAAGTATTTTGGATACAAAATTTAGTAGAGCATCGCCATACAACTATTAATAAAAAAATGGATGCAGCACAAGCAATGCATCTAATAATCAGTATGTGCAAGGAGCATGACAAAAAAAATTCACTCGTATAAGATACATTGAAAATACGGGAAGCATAAAAACCTTTATATTCAAGTTCAAGCTCAAGAAGATTAAGAAGTTTTCAGAATTTAGAACTTTCTATTCGAGTTTTACTCTAGGACCGAGGTGAAAAAAGACAAGAACTAACAATAAATGGCACATCATATTTAACCAACGAAAGAAGCAATAAAAGAGAGGGATTGCTACCTTGGAAGGAAGAATCTTCCATATATCTCTGCATCAAAAGAAAAGAATATCAGGAGTAACAAATAATCACTAAAGAAGATGTACTTCCAAAATATTCACAACTTAGAGAAAGCTTATACCATAATGAGCATCAAATCAAGGTAATTGTGGTGATTAAAGCATCAGGTAGTAATATCTAAACAAAATAAGAAATCCAAAATATATACCGCAATTTGGGACTTGAGATCATTGTCCTCGGTAGTAGTTGATTGAGCTGCAAGATATTATTTAATTTAGATGAATTAGATTTGGTAGAAATCAGAACAAATATTATGTTAAACCAAAAAGTTCCCTTACTATTGTTGATCCCAGAGCAATCCATCAAGAATGTGGCAAAACTGGGTGGCAAGGCTGGAAGGGTACTTTCAAAGTTGTGACCAGAAGCTGTTTCCTTTATTTGGACTCCTGAAGGTTGCTCCGTTTCATTATTCATACATATTGGCAGTTTTGGAATGCAAGTCTCAGCCGGAGTCACAAAACTCAGTTCCTCAGAAGCTCTACAAGTACAAACATTGGTAAGGCTCAGTATATGTGTCGAATCTCCGTCAGAATTAAGTCAACTGATACTTCAATATAAGTATTGAGAGATGTGGCTCCCCCACTAAAGTGAATTGCTGTTGAAGTGAACAAATTGATATTTCAACACACTATCAACGATTGATTTGTTTGTAAATGATTAATATTACTCACTTTAGAGGAGTCTGATCTGGTAATGAAAGCCTATATACACTCCACATAAAAGTAAGGAGAAAACATAAAAGAAAAGAACAAAGGATGTATATGAAAGTTGAAAACAGATCAGTGAACGGTTATGCATTAAACAGAGAAACTGAATGACAATTAACGATTCATCAAAGCTCAATATCTCAGAGTCATCCTCCCATCGCTCCAAAATCTTACATATGACACAAAGCTCTTTTATACCTGTAAGAGTGTTTGTTTGTTGACATAAATTCTGACTGAGACGAAATTTCTGAACCAAAGTCAATATTTAAAGGTTCCGGGCCCTTGTCATCTTTTAGGGTCACCTGGGAAGGAACAAAAAAATCAAGATCAACAATGAAATAAAATAGTTTTATAAGTGCGAGTGCAACCACAGGTTCTAAATATTTTTATCGTGTTTGATTATATTATAATAAGCAAATGTTACCTTCAAAGCACTGATGAATGATTGTACTTCATAGATCGATGGAAACCGCATAGCAAACTTTTGAATCTGCCAAATAGGAAAGGTAGCATCACAATTATAATACTGTCTGAATAAGGCAGTGTATGTGTGGAACTAGATTTGTTAACTCAATAAATTAATCGTATTATTACAATCACTCAGAGTTACATTAGCAAAGACAAGAATCAACACTGTACTTTCAGTTTGTTATTGATGTTACAAGTTATACTAGAAAGGCGTTAAGTTAGTTATCAACAAATTGTCTCCAAAATCAACACATGACCAAATGACTTTAAAAAGAAAATTAACTAGCATATTGTTATACAATCAACAATGGAAAAAGTGGTCTATCAAATGAATTCAATCAATTAACTTCATAAATCACGTGAAAATCTAATGAGTATAGTTAAATTGATCCTTCAAAAATATAAAGTTGCTACAAAGCAATAGAGCTCCTTAGTTTAAATTAGTACTCTCATCTTAGTTTTAAACTGTGATCCTCAACTGCAGCCATAAAAAGTTTTAGAAATCTTTGCAATGGTAACCATAATTACAGCCGCATCGCCTACATTTACTCATATTTTATTGCAATATCAAGGCCGAGAGCGTAACACAAACCGCAATTCAAGACCTCAGCCTAACATCACAGCATGACCATCAAATACACATTCATAACTAACTTAACTAACAAATACATATCATCGGGAAAAAAATCAGAAACTTATCTGATTATTTAATAGGAGAAAATTAATGTGTATATCTATGAAGCACAAACACCGAAAATGTGACACGATACTAACACGCCGACACCGATAATAATTTGAAAAAATGAATACATTAAACGTAATTACAAGTGTCAGTGTCAGTTTAGGACGCAGACACTGACATGGACACACATTTTTTCACTAAAGAGGTATATGAATTAACAACACCTTGCGCAAATCTTACCTCGGCTCTGGAATCTCTGTAATTAACCAGCACGGTTTTAATTCCCCTTGCAGGAAATCCAGGATCACACGATACTTGAGGCCAGTAGAAATTCAGCTTCGAAACGTAGTGCTCTTCCTGCAAAACATCACACAACAAATTTCACAATTCAAATTCCAAAAATCATTCTCCTCCAACAAAATCAGCAATCCAAAACACAAAACAAAAAATCTCCGAAAATGACCGAAACAAGCATCTTCACTTTCGAAAATCAAAACACGTTCCGTTCAATTTACAATAACAGTTCCGTATTGAATAAATCTGAAACGAGAAACGTAATGGAGAAGTTAGGAGTTACGAAGAGTTTGCCGTTGAAGGAGACGGTGAGGATGACATCGGATAAAGATAGATCGGGGGAGAATCTGAGGAAGGCGGAAGTGGAGGAGGCGATCCAGGTGCCGCGAGGAGGACGGTTACGGAGGCGATGAGGGATAGGATGAAGATTGGAGGAGGAAGATGAAGAAGTGGTGGAATGAGGGAAAGGGATGAAGCGTGCGAAGAAAATCTCCCACTCGGCGTTCAGTGTTGAAGAGTTTGTTGGTCTCACAGCTACTGTTCCCGCCATTTTTTGAATTCTATCCCCTTCTTTTCTCTCCAAAAAATAGACCAAACAAAAAAATAAACTGCGTTATGTAATTTATTGGAAAATTTTCTGCGGATTAGTTACGGTTGCACATTGGGCCAGTGACTCCGAACGGGGTCACGGATACAATTTAGAAAGCTACTAGTTAAACAAAAATGAAATAAATACGAATTCAAATATTTGAATCTAACTTATTTAATAATTGTGAAATTAATATGATAATATTGGTTTATAATATCAAATTAATAAAAAGTGAAGAAGTAAGTAGAATGATATTTCTTCTTTCGTTTAAGGTAAAAAACGCATATCATTTATATTTACTAAAAGGAGAGATTTATACTAATATAATTTATTTGTTTTAGAATGTTTCATTTTTATGAAAATCTGATTCAAGTTTATATTCATGTTCATGTTTTATTTTTGTTATGAAATTTTTTTTCTCATCAAGGCGAATATGTTCATGTTCTTAGCTAAAAGCGGTAGGCGGAATCAGACTCTGAATCAGAACCAATCGTTGTCGAAGCATTAGCTAAAGCGGTAAGAGAAAATTCGAAGTCTTAAACCAGATCTGATTGCTTCTCATCATGTTGAAGGAAAAGACAATAAGGTAATATATTGGTTGATTTCAATAATTAGTTTCATTTTTTTAATTTATATTTTATATCATGTATCGTCGTAATACTATGTGGTATGTTTTACATAATTGTTTTGTTTTTCATTGTCCTTCTATAGCTTGAGTTTTCACCTTAAAATAGTGTTTCAAAACAATGATTTACAGACAGACGAAGGAAAACAAATATTGACAGATCTACCGAAGAAATAGCGACCGAAGTTAGACCATTAACAAATGAAACAAATTCTTCATGAAAGGTTGGATAAAGTGGATTTATTTCTCACGGGAATAAGATTTGGCATGACTAAATCTATTTTTCTATTTTATTCTTAATTTCTCCTGGAGGTAACTATTAGATCTGTTCATAAACTTTATAACTTCTATCAATATAGAAATCAAGAACAGAAATCTAAATAAAACTCATACCTGAATACAATTATAAGAATGAAAGCGGGAGCGTACATGCATTTGCCATTGAGAATCACCGTTAGTTTGCGGGCATTTGATCTTCTAATTTATAGAGTTCCTTATGGCTCATTGATTCTCCTCTGATGGGGATAAATAGAGAATTTCTGATAAACTATTTTTCCTTGTCTACAAATGGGGATCATAACCCCTATGAATAACCTTAGGGTAATTCCTTAATTTTCAATATTCTAATTTAGTCCCCCGTCAAATTAGATATTGACTTATGGTATCTACACAATAACCTAACCTTTCGTGACAGTTATGCTTTTAGCCACAAACTTATTATTAATTAGACCACTATAACTTTGGCTAATTACATAAGGGCCCTAACACATGTATTATTATATTTGTGACCCAAAAATTCTAACAATCTCTTACTGGTCACATATGTAATCACACACATGTGTTAGACTTTATGAGCTCAAAATTCGCTATTATATTTGTTGTACCCCAAAATTTGCCCTCCCATTTCCTCAATATTTTCTCACCACAAAACCCTTGGAGCTCAAGGTCAAGTTAGGGTTTGCTCTGCTCAAGAC